ATACGAACCCAATGCAGGCTATCAATAACCTGTTTAATAGGGCTGAGGGGGTTTTCCCTAACAGCATGCCCCCAATAAGTCCAGAATCTAGTGAGCCATTGTTTACTCCATTGGGGCATGTTGGGAAGGACTTCGCACAGGTGCTTTACTGCACGACGCCGACTAACTTCGTTAGTTACCCAGTCAAGGAGCCCATCTGTAGGGAGTCTAAGGAGGCTCAGTAACAGGGTGTTGCGCATCGACTCCACCTTTCGTAGAACTTTAGTAGTAGGAAAAACCGCAGGTGAAGCCCACAGCCATCTGCTACTAACATAGGTTTGAAAGATGGAGACTTTCGTCGTAAGTGAAGCATGTGTGGAATCCATGATCTTTTTAAAAGCATAGTAGCTACTTTGGCTCTTGCGCAAGCAATGAAAAAGGGTGTCCTCGGTGCTCACAGTATATCCAAGAGGAATGCCAAGAAAGATAAAAATGGGATACGAGTTTAATGGAGTACAAGACCTGGCTCCCCAAATGCCGTAATCTTCCTGGTTCGGGCCGCGAAGGACAGAACATTTGTTCAGATTGAGGCGTAACCCTATTGCATCTAGCGCCGCTTGAACAAGCCTGAGCCGGTTTTGTAGGTCAACTGGGTTTCGCCCAATCAGAAGAATGTCGTCGGCATACATTAATAAAGGAGGGAAAGATACACCTCCCGCAACCACGGGTTCGTGGGTGCGAAGATGTGCAATGACAGGTTCCAAAGTCCATGCCACTACCCTACCGAAAAGTTCAGCGCTGTATGAGGTGCCTTGCAGAATGCCCTTACCTAATTTCTGCTTCCAGCTTGTGCCCCCAACTTCTAGGAGGACTTCATTACAGGTAAGCAGGTTCCAAAGTGCCCATGACTCCTTATTTGGAGTGCCCTCAAGAAGGTACTTTGCAATGGCTCTATGAGAAACACTGTCGAAGGCAGCTTTAATGTCTAGTTTGGCAAAGCACATCGGCGAGTCGAGCCGATTACTAACAGCGATAGCAGCTTTAGCTGTATTAATTCCATCCATAGCCTGACGTCCAGGCTGGCAGCCTAATTGGAGTGGGTTGCATGGTGGCAAGTACAACCGCATTCTATGCATAAGAATTCGCCCGAAAAGTTTCGCTACCGTACTCGTGAGGCAGATCGGTCGAAGATCCGCCGCAGTAGCGGGCAATTTAATTTTGGGGATAAAGCTAATACGCCCCACTTTCCATTCCGGCGGTATGTCGCCGCTGTCAAGAATGGCATTAAGAAAATCACAAAAGGAGGGACCAAGATGCGACTGCACGATTTGCGATAACAAAGTATAAGGTACCCCATCTTCCCCCGTGCAGGTTCTGGGGTCAAGTTTAGCAAGATGGAGGGAGACTTCAGTGCATGTGATGCGTTGGAGCAATGTAGGGCAATGTTTCTCCCGAAGGGCTGTGACCAAAGGCTCCAGAGGTGTGGGGTCATCGCAGGCATACTTACACTCATAGAAGTGCTTGACCGATTCAACAGCTTTCTGACTACCCCCTGCGCGTTGCAAGAACCCAGCATCCGTGGCTGAAGCAGCCGCACTTCGTTTGAGGAAAGAGATGACACGCCTATCCCCCTGTTGCGCTAAGGACAGGAGGTTTGTTTTATGTTCTTCCTTGGCTTTCCTCCTGGCTTCGTGAATACCCTTGACTAATTTCTGTCGTTCTTCAGAGTCTGTTGATGCTTTACGGGCAGAAATAAGCGAGGCAACAGAAGGCGGATCTTTATAACGCAAGCTAGGCGGCTTAGTAACGGAGGCTTGTCGAAGTTGGGTCAGCATTTCCAGATTAAACGGTCGGCCTAGCTGGATTTGAAAGGCTTCCTCGGCCCTCCCAACATCGACGTCCCACCTACCACACAGAGTTCGTCTATAGGTTGGTCGCAAGAATGGGGTTTTAGCCCTGAGAGTAATACTAAGAGCATTGTGGTCAGATGGCAGTCCTAGACGCAGATCTTCACGATTCTGAATTTCCCCTTCAACCCCAACCCCTCTGAAAAAGGAGAAGTCAATTTTGGAAGAGCACCCCCGCGCAAACCAGCTATCCCCCTCGTATCCCTGCATGCGCAGATCGTTCTGCGCAATCACTGTGCGGAAGTGTGGCATCTCAGAAAAAGTGTCATAATGCAATGTGTAGTCCTGATTAAGATCTACAGTAAAAAGGACGACGTCATCTGAGTGTGGTCCCTGCAGAAAAGTTGCAATTTCCCTAATCCCATGTTCCCAGACAGTCTTAGCATCAGGCCGTTTGCTGTGAGGCAAATGACAGGTGAGAAGGTGCACCGGCCTTCCCCCTTTAGGCTTCAACGTAACCCCTAAGCCCACAGTCAGAATTGTCGAACCTGCCACATAACTTGCAAAAGGGTGACCGAAAACCGGCAGTAGCATCCACATGAAAGCACGAATACTTCTCTGTTCCACTCCACAACTCAAACGATTGCACCGAATTGCCTCCTGCTTTGCCCAGACCTCCTACTTCCTGTAAGAGTAGGACGTCCGGAGGATGAACAACCCCTGCTAAGGTGTCCAGTACATCTTGAACTTGTTTACCCCTGACATTCCAGTGTATGGCCCTAAAGTCCATAAACCTAGACTCATGGGCCACTCGGGACCTTCCGTGCTGCGACGCTGGTGTCTCATCATCTCTGCCACATCCCTATGACTCACATGCTTGCAAGACATCATGGGCGCTTCGTCCCAACAATCGTGCAACATGCTTTGCGTCAATATACCAGCCGTTGTGCGAGCCTTTGACATCGGTGTGGAGATAATGCTCTCCGTGCGGCGGCTTCTGAGAAACATGGTGCAGCACATTCTCCCCGTCAAGATATACTCTGCCTTTCCATTCGAATTCAGTCCTAGAGTCTGGCTGAGCAAGTAATTGCAACACATCCTTTGTTCTAAGGATACTGCGGATCATTTGTCGATCCTCCGGTGATCGGTTCCTTTGGAACCATAACTTGCTAGCCTGCTGACCCACTAATTTGGTGGTGAAACTGTCCTTAAGTACTTGTAGTACTTGTGTTTGGATACGACGACGGTGCGCAAGATCGGCGTGCAAAGGGAAATTGAGTTCGATTCTCGCTATGTTTGAGCGTAGGTATGGCACATACACTTCTTTGAAAACTTCCGGGCCTCCATGTGCTTCGAAGAATCCTCTGATTTCCACCTGAAGCTCAGACCTTTTTGCATTGACAAATCCCCCAATGACGATCTGCAAATCATCGATAGTTCTTCCTCCAGTGCTGGAAGCGGTAGTGGAGCCCAGCGCCCCTCCACGCGGTGTTAAAGGTCCACGGGGGGTGTAGGGCGAAGAAGGCCTGGATCTAAGATCAGCGATCTCCCTTTCTAGCTTTGTAATACGGCTTTCATGCTCGGTATGGAGTCTCTCATGTGCCTCCGTGCGTGTTTGCAGGGTATTGATGCAGTCCGAATTCTTCTTTGTATTAGTTACACATGCAGAAAATTCATGCAACAAATTATCCTGCTGAAGCACTAGGCGCTGCAAGTCATTCTGAAGGCCCCTAAGCCACGGAGGATCCTCAGAGCCCTGATGCCCTGCTGGCATAGTAGGAGGAGCGTGACTGGGAGGGGGCAATGGCGGCGGGTTAGCTGTACGCGATGGACTTCTGTTTGCCCGAGGCTTGGGGGACTCTAGGGTTGTTGGGGCGGTCCCCAGGCCTGGTGGTCCCGGAATCTTGTTGGCTACACTGCTAGGACTAGTGCCGGTAGGGGGCCCGGTATTGCCTATCGGGAGTGAGCCTGCAAAATGCGGTGGAGCCAAGAGCCCTCCCGTGTTCCCCACTGTCAAAGGATGGCCCTCTAAACCCTTTCCGAAGTCTGGGGATCCAGTGTTGCGAACATGTGCCGGTGTGCCTGGTCCAGATCCTACCAGCGGGGGAGGACATTCCTGTGCATTGGACAGCTCATCATCATCACTCTCTTCATCATGTCCTGGCACAAGACTGACATCTTCTCCATCATCCACAGTCAGATCATACTGCGTAACTACATCCGAGCTGGAGCGTCTTTTATGAGGAGAGTCTCTGGCTTCTCCTAGCGACGCCTCAGCAGCTGTACGTGGTTTCCCTACGCCTGGTTTAGGTGCTCCCGAATTCTCAGCATCATCGGCTCCATTAAAGACAAGGACCCGCACCCCGTCCTGTTCTTTCACAGTCAGGGGGCCGCCTAGGGCAGCTGCCAAGGCTGCCCGACTAGCTTCGAGAGAAGCGGGGGAGGCGGGCTGCGTGGACTCTTCGGCAACCCCCCCATCAGGAACTCTACTTGACACATCTCCCGGCAGCCCGCTCCCCGCAAGGACTCCGCCCCCGGCATCTGCAAGCCCAGCGTTCAACTCGGCCAAGGCTCCCGACATGACTCAAGACGACAAGACACTGCACCCCTAAGGACGAGAGAGGGGGAAAGCCAAGGTAGCGGGGTCACCGGCCCTCAGAGTGAGCTACAGGGGCAACTCACCTTGTGGCCTCTACCCGTCTCTCAAGGACACGGATTTAGGGTTTAGGTTTTTGAGATTTAGGGTTTAGGTTTTAGGATTTTAGGATTTAGGGTTTAGGATTTTGGGATTTAGGATGTAGGGTTTAGGCTATTAGGTTTTAGGATTTTCGCTACCTTAAACGATTTGTGTGTGTGTGTGTGTGTGTGTGTGTGTGTGTGTGTGTGTGTGTGTGTGTGTGTGTGTGTGTGTGTGTGTGTGTGTGTGTGTGTGTGTGTGTGTGTGTGTGTGTGTGTGTGTGTGTGTGTGTGTGTGTGTGTGTGGGTGTGGGTCTTCCTAACTTGGAGTGCGAAATATACATATACACGCACACAGTTTCGTGACCTTGCCGATACATTCGCTGCCTCGGCGCTACAGTAGGAGAGAGACGCCTGAAATCCCGGCTACACCCATCCTCACATCATAAGTGACTACTCTGAAGCCCGTAACCCTACCGTCTTTGCTCTGTGATCCGCCTCCAAGTGAGATGCCCAGCTCAGAAGCTCGTCCTTGCAGGAACGCGAAGCTTCCTTGGCTGGCACTTGGAGGTTCATCTCGTGCCAAGGAAGCAAGCACAATAAGGACATAAGGTAGTCGAAAACCTAGCTGTGGCCATTAAACCCTTCTAGGTTTCTGTCTCAAGTTTTCTAGTTTGATTCTTACAGAAACCCTTAAAAAAACCCAAGCCCTAAGGCCATAAACTCTCCCTGTCCGCTGATGAGATGCCTCCCTCGCCACAGCCGCCTCTTCCGTCAGCCTCTTCAAGGGCGAGCTCGCAGCCGAGGATCCTCCCCAGAGTTTTTGCTGTTTTGGGCTCCTTGTTCCCCACCTCGCCAGCTTTTCTATGTCTGGGTTTGGGGTTTGGACTCTCGCAACTCGGAATGCAGGACGAGGTTGGTGGGTTCGCAAGTTGACAGCTGCCTTGAACTATCGGTTCTACATGACAGCAAGACGGCTTGGTGCAAACCAAAACCGTGGGCTTGGGGTTTCTGGTTCAAATCATTCAGGGTTCTGGGATGTTCTGGGTTTAGGGCGTTCTCCTTCCCTCCGGCCTCTCGGATTTGGGAGTTTCGAGGTATGAAACGAATTTAGGATTTCGACTCTCGCACGCATAATGCATGTGAGGGCTTCACAGGAGCCAGGCGAGTTTCCAGGTGCGGGGGTCAAGCGTAAAAGAATGGAGGAATTGTAGGGCTTAGGCATCGTCCCGGGGGCTGCGTCAACATGTTGTGGTGCCTGGTACCATATAATAACACGCCTTGGTGGATGACCAAACCAAACAAACGCATGCGCTGACTCTGTTCTCCTGCCCCATCTTTCAATCTACAGTCTCATGGCTATTGGTGCTACTGAACCGCATTTAAAAAGAAAGCACCCTTCAGCAGGGTCCCATGAAAAAGCACATGAGGAAGACTTGGGATACTAGAACAGCCCTTGTAAGAAAGCGCCATAAAGGATACCCTTGCAAGATGCTTGTGCATGCGTCCTTTTGGGAGCCCCACTCTAAATTCTTGTCGAGCCCTCATGAAAGGTTTCGATGTAATGTTGTTTGCTTTCGGAGACATGGCCGCACCGGAACTTTGCCTGCCTCGAAACTGGGCGTCGACCAAATGAGTGCGCAGCGTCTCATCTGCACCGTGCGCCTGGGCAACATGCATGCACATGCGCTACGACTGTTCAAAGAGCCTCGTAAGACTCTTGCCCAGGAAGCTACAAGTTCGCGAAAAGCTGGGATCCTCACCAGGACTTGGGCCGCACCTCGTAAGGTGGCACCAGACTCCTTCCACCCATGCCACAGGCGAAGCAGCAAAGGCTACATATATACAGGCGCCCACATCAAGGAACGGCTCTCCTCCTCACGCTTGGTGTAGGGCTGGGCGAGGACGGGATCCCTGGCGGGCGGATAGATCTCGCTTATTGAGTTACCGTCCTGGAATAATATGGGCTAATCTCGACTGGAGAGCATATACACGAAGTGCGCCCGACTTCCAAGCCGCCCAACCTCTGCTAGCCGCACTAAGCTAAACCGCAAGCATCCTAGCAAAAGCCTGTCTAAACATGTCCTAACCACGAAACTCCGCGACTTCGCAGAGCCTAGACATCTGACAACACAAGCATCACCTCGTAAGTGGAGAAGGCGTCTTCCCGTGTGCTGTCTCCTTTGCAAGTAAAGCTGTCTACATGCTGAAACAGTGGTATTGGAAAATCACATTAGGCAAACAGTGTCAAGTGGTCATGGGTCGTTGACCGTCACTGTCGCAACCCTCTGTGAGCGCCACGGTGAAAGAAGTGCTGCAGGCAGCCAAATCTGCAAGTCTCTTGAGAGAACAACAGTGCATCTTCTGCACAGAAAGAAAACCGTGCTCTGTCATGCCCTGCTTCTTAGAACGAGGACTTGGGTTATGAGAGGTCGATGGGACTGACTTGCATCGTGCCCAGCAGTCCTTTCGCAACTTCGGAGGAGCAGAGTGCCTCTTCTCCTGCATGCTCGTCGTCGCAACAAGCTCATTCGCAACATATGCAGGAGTGTGCTGGGACTACCTCACAGGTCCTCAAAACCATGCACCGTGTGCTAGTGCCGCGCCTGCCGTGTCATGGCCAGCTCTTGCTTGTAGATCTCTGCCTCTTGTGCCTTCGGCCCACAGCCGGACCGCTTCGCATTTGTTTCTGGAGTAGTTGAGCACTGGTCTCGCCATGTGGGGATCGCTGTCAGACTTCTGAGCACTGGTCTTGCCAGCAAGGGTGTGTTTATGTGAGCTGAGAGCTAGAGCATTCACACGCTTATGCGCGTGAGGGTATTGACCCGAGTATGCGCTTTGTGTAACATGGTCTTTGCTGCTGTCATCGTGCGGGACGTGCTACGGTGCTGGCATCATGACTGTCATAGTTCTCACTCTGACCGTTACTCGACTACGCCGGCGAGCTGGGTGGCCCTTTTCACAGGCTGACCAGTGGCATCACTACTGTCAGACCCGCTGACCAGCCAGATGAGCCGCGCCTTTGCAGCAAGAGCAGAGGAAACCCGCTGAAGCTCGCGGTTCTTTGCCAGGATCGTGGCCGTTGTCATCGTGTCCAGGCTTTCGCCTGACCTGTTTGCAACGACAAAACCTGGAAAAGACTTGGGGACTGGGGATCTGCTGTACCTCTTCGGTTCTTACTTAGGGGTACCTTATTTTGGGGTCCTGATAATAAGGATCCTACCGTTTAAGGTACTATGCTCGGGTCCCTGTTTTCGGAATCCCCCATATGCCTGCCGACACCTCGCAGTCCTGAACCAGAAGTTCTAACAGCCAGCTGCTTTCGACGACGTAGCTGTTGCTTCTATGGCTGCTCTACCGTCTACCGCCCATGGCTGCCTGATCAACACTAGGAAAGCTCAAGGGCGCAAACCAGCAGATACAAGGATGGGCACTGCCGCTGCACTGTAAAGCCACCCTGCTCCAACAGTACATAATGAGAGAACTGGGCCACAAGCTATACACTTGCAACTCCCACTGGTCAACTCTCGAACCCCGGCGACGCACAATAAATGATAGGAAAGAAAAAATGCGTTGGGCAAAGGAACCAAAACGACGATTACTAGAACGACCACTACAATCTTTGCGACCCCTCTTCCTACAACTACCACTATATACTAATCACTATGTACTGCTTCTACAGCTACCATCCACACCTCCTACACTTCCCACACCTCCCACTACGACCACTGTGACGGCTGCGCTACTGCTCCTACTGATTCTGCTGCTGCCACTACCGTTACCACTTTATCCCAGTACCACTACCACTAACTGTATTTTGGCGACGACTTCACGACTACGAATGTGACTACGACTCCCTGTCTTTTGCTAACACCCCTGCCACATGTGGTGCAGATGGTTTGTCCTTCCCTACTTCCATGCTGTGATGCTGCAAGAGTGCCGGGGCACAAAGACTTGCCATACAACTATGCCGTATGCAACACCATGCAAGAGGTGAACATGCTTTCTGCTCGAATACAGAATGTGTTTTGAATATACACCTGCTGCAAGTATTTTCAGGAGATGTCATGGAACTACTGCTGACCTGAAGAGGAAAGCAAAAGGGCAAGGTGGATGCGGATTTGCTCCGACTATTCGCTCATGTTTCCGCAGTCGACGATCATAACCACGACTGACTCGGTCCATTATCGTTAATAAGGTTTTTGGCTTTCCGACCATCCCGTCTGTTAGTCGTTGGGATGTGAACCCGCCCGCCTTTCGGAAGCCTTGCTTGGGGAGCAAACCTGACAGGCTGACGCGGTCACCATGCGTCTGTCTCGTACTTGCAGCAGGTCTAGCAGGCAGCAACAGTACTTGTAGCAAAAATGGAAAGAGCAGCAGTAGCAGCAGCAGGAGTAGTAGGAGTAGGAGTAGCGGTAGCAGAGGCCGAGGCAGAGGCAGCAGCAGAAGCAGTATCCGTGGTAGGAGTAGGAGTATTTTTTGCCTCCTGCATGGCTGAATAACGAAGTAGGAGTATTGGTAGGAGCGTTAGCAGTAGTAGCAGTAGTAGCAGTAGTAGTAGTAGTAGTAGTAGCAGCAGCAGGAGCAGTAGTAGCGGCAGTAGCCGTGGTAGTAGTCGTCGTAGCGGCAGCAGTAGGTAGTACTCGTACTAGGGGCGGCAGTGCCAGCAACAGTTGCAGTATACCATGAGCAGTAGCAGTAGAGTAGGCTTAGCCGTAGCCGTTGTAGAAATGCCCATCATCTTCATCATTGCAATAGGCAAAACAACAATGCAATAGCGGCATGCGGCACCTGTGCCGGTGCCGGAGCCGTGGAGCTAGCAGAGGGCGTCCGACAGGAGAAGTCGACCACGCTCACCTGGCAGTGTCGGTGAGCCGGGAGCCACGGAGGAAAGGCCATGAGATTCATGGCACTTGCAACAGAGCACTTTGGCCATGCCAGATATGAGCCGTTTCAAGCAGCGACGTACAGACATAGCTAAAAGCAGTCACAAACGTGTGACGATCTCCGTACACATCACTACTCATCACTACTTAGTCAGTTCCGGAGCAGGAAGAACTTTGCAAGCGCCCGCAGGCTCGGCCTCGTCGCTGTCTGCTCTCCGCCTGGGTTTGCACAACCGTGCTCACGCTCGAAAGCATCTACAGGCTCGAAACGTATGCATTCATGTCTTGTGCCTCTTTCTTTCCCTCCCCCCCCCGTCTCCCTGTCTCCCTTCTGAAACTTCAAAGCGCACCGTCCGAGAGTCTAGAGTGAGCATTATTCATTATTCCTTCCCTGCCACGCTTGCGTACCGGAAGCCTCTTCTGCAGCAGCTGGTCCTTGGCGTGGCGAAGTTGCAGAAGCCGCACTTCTCCCAGCCGATTCATCTGCCTTGGCTTGGTGGGAGCCAAGCTTCCCAGCAACAGCTAACCGAAGGACCCGAGTCGCAAGATTAACCAGATGTTCGCGGTACAAGCCCGCATGCAATTCTTGCGGGAGCCATCTCTCGTTTCCGCGTCTGCGTGAATGGCACGGGTTCACAGTAGTAGCTGTTGATGACGGTACGCTCATTTCTGATACTCCGTCTTTATGAGTAAAGAACACTGCTGGGAGACCTGATGTATGCTGTCATTTAAACCCAAGCCCCTTTCCTTCGGTGGTGGGGGAGACGACTCCGACGAAGAATTCAGTTGCTAGGCCGCAGGTGACAAACGTATGTACATGTCTATGCGTAGGCTGTTGATCGTGCTCCATCGCGGAAACTGAGCCACCTGACCGCATCTTCCCGCAGTGCTTTGCTATCGGACTTGCGACTTGAACTCAGGTCCACATTGTAAGACCAATACCACGCCAAGCACGTAACCCACAGTGATTTCGACCATGGGTGGGCTCACAGTTTGAGCGCCGAGTGACTCGTCACTCTAGGCTTGAACCACATCTTCTGGATGCATGGTGATATGCCTGTCGTTCTACACTCCATAGGTGTGTAGCATGAAAACGATTCAGCCCAGGGCCCACATGAAGCCGTCCCAAGTGACGAGGCCGCAATCGCGAGCCCGCGTCGCGGAAGAACGACGCAACACGGCAAAAAAGGCACGCGCACACACATACACACACAAACACACACACACACAGACACACACACACACGCGCACACACACACACACGCGCGCGCGCGGACGGAGGAGTAAGTGATGGGATGGTATCCTCCGGGAAAGGACGTCTGGTAACCCCCCCCCCTTGTTGGGGCCGCTCAAACTGGCTCGTAGACTGCGGGCTGGACGACGTGATCATGAATCGAGGTGCTGCGTGTCGAAACGCCTTCGTGGACGGGACAGGACTCCGTCGAGAGTGGGTGGAGCCGGGGGCAGTGATTAATATAGTGGCTTTCGAGACTGAGCCTTAAACGCTATACTGTGACTTGAAGCTCTTTCACGGGTGGACGTGATTCCTGCAATGTATAAGACGCGGAAATGTTTGAGCCCAAACAGTGAGTCAGCGACATGGGGGTCTCTGGCCTCGTTTTTCTTATGAAGAGGTCCCTCATGTCGGTGCTTGTCAAGCCCTGACTCGGGCTTCAGGACCGATATTTGACATCTCGCCGAAGGCTTCCACAGTCAGCATGACACACAAAAATCAGAACTGCTCCAACCGATACAAGGAGCAGTAAAAACGTCGTCGAGACTCTGCGACCAGCTCTGATGTCACAGTCTAGGACTACAACTGTCTGGTTCTTAGTAGGGAATGGGGGAATGGATATTGGGGATCCATTCCCCCCATTCCTTACTAAGAAAAAAGGGAGACACTTGCCCAGACCGTAGCAATAGGGGCCTTCATATTTAGAACAGGGTTTTGGGGCCCATCATAGTATAATTCTAATAAACAAGGTTTTGGGGGCCCATTATAGTATAATTCTAATAAAGAGCGAGGCACTTGTTGTAGGTTTCCAGCTCATCGATCCGATCCAACAAGGAGTTCTCCACTCGCGACGTATCGAGCCTGAGCTCTTCTCTGCCGGGGTTTTTTGTGATTATGACGACTTTTTTTTGATTTGGCTATTCTTGCTATTGTCCCTGCTATGGCCGTTATCTGTCACTATTATTACTCTCAGTCCAGTGTTTCACTTAAACCATATGTTACGATTCTTACTAATGTATACTTGCTCTTCATTGACTAGTAGTTTCGCTATTGGTCAAAGAGACCATAATCTTGTTGCCGTTGCTGCTATTACCATTGTTGTTGCTAGTGTTGCGCGTGTTTCTGGTACTGTTAACTTACCCTTGCAATCTCCCTGGGACCTCGAAAAGGGGGATGCTGATGGCAGCACAACAAACAGAAACTGACTTGAGACTTAGGGCTTTGGGCTTGGACCCTCTCACCTTTGGTGTAGGTCTAGGCTGCCTATGCTTACGCTCTCGAAACTCGGGCAATCCAGACCAGGTCTCAATACTCCCTGTGCTTAGGGTTTAGGGTCGTGCTTGATCGAGGCAGGCGGCGTCCCATCACTCATTATGCTGCTGAATGAATACGCCATAGCCGCCATGTCTTGGCACAGCAGCCGCCCATGGCCATGGATGGCGCTCTCGCTTCTGGATACAAAGGCAACAAGAAGCACGTGATGATGCCAAAACATATGTGGCAAGGCATGCGAGGAAATCCCGACTAACATAACCATATACTTGCAGTAGAGACATATTGCTATCCTCCTTGCCTTGCTGCCGCAAGCTGGCAGTAGGAACCCTCTCGCAGAGCACTGGGCGCTGGAGGATGTTCATGGGATGCACTCAGACTGCAGGGTTTGTGCAGTACAACACCACGCGACTGTCCGTTCTCAATTGAGCGACACTCATTCGAGCAGCAGTGCCACAGTTGGTACTGAGTTTGTGACTGAGCCGGAAACCCTTAATGTGAGCAAGAACATGCGAGCTGTGCGTGCCGGTGCCATGAGGTCACTGGAATGCTTTTCTCCACAGCCGCGGCAGGGAAGAACTAGAATCTCGTTGCACTGTTGAAGAAGGTTAGGTAATTAGCGCTTTCACAGCATGGGCATGGATTGCCCAAAGAAGCAGCACTGTGGAACTGCACCAGGTTCGCAACATGTTGTTGGCTACATAGTTTCAACATACCCGTAGTCTCCATCAAGAGCGGGCTTAAAGACATTCAGCTTTTGTGTTGGGTGCCACGCCCCTCATAGCCTCCCTCCGTTCGTGTTCCGTCCATGGTATGCTTGGAGCGACAGAAGCTGGCTAGTAACATATGTCGTGAACTCTGGCGCGTGGCGGCTGTTGGGCCAGCATTAACTTTCTGACGATCAGCTGGCTGAGCGGCGCCAGCAGCCCACACGAGCCTTCGGGTGGCTCATTCTTGTCTTGACACCTGCAGAGGCATCATGGTTTCAAGATGTCTGGAGTTTGCTACTTTGACATGCACTCGGACATGGCGTTTGGGGTTCGCTGCGCTTGCACTTGCGCTTCGAGTGGCATCTCTGGGTCGGAAGTTACGATAAAATTCAACATTGAACATCTTGTCACAGCCGACTCGAACGGAAATACTGCTTCAGTGTATTCATGCTTGAATCTGAAGAACAAGCCCGAGGATGCGACGTTATTCAGGGTCAAAGCGTGACAAACAGCAGCAGTAACCATTTCTTCAGGAGTGTGTGAATCACACGCCACACGACGTGCAACGACGCGTCATGCCTCGGCCTTGCATCTTCTTAACAAGTCTCCTGTTGCGGCTTCGCAACCGGCTCCTGCAGGACTCCGAGGAGGAGCGGAGTCTGAACCCTGGTTTCACGTCGAAAGCACGACTACCACTTGACTGGGGTTGTTGTAGATTAACCACGATCTCCTTTACAGTCGCTATGGCCGCTATAACTCGCGCATTCATCCACGGGCATTCAGAACAGCAAACTCAACCCACCAAGGTGAAGGCAGAATGCCAAGTCCTCCTTGGAGCTGGCGGACTTTCTGCTCGTGTAGGGCCTTGGCTTCAGCGTTTTGCCCTGCGAAGATTTCGGCTGGGCCCACATCTCGATTTCTGCCTGCTTTCACTGTGGGGTTCATGAGTGGTTCGAGTGCTTTGGACTTCCATGGGCGGCACGCCGGATGCACAGAAGAGCTAAAAAGGCACATCTTCCACAACGAAGTTCCCGAAGGAGGAGATGACCTCAAGAATCGAAACCCCTTATGGAGCCCTTATAGTAACCCTTTAAAGGACCCCTAAGGCTCAACCGCCAAAAGCTCAGAGCCCCGAGCTCCCTGATCCCTCAGCCCTCAAAAAGCCTGGACTTCAGAACCAACACCCACCAAAGCCTATGCCCGAAACCATACTATTCCGTTGTGTTGTAACAGACCTCAGGTTTCCCTTGCTTCGCATTAAGCCTGCTACTATTATTTTGGGGGGGCTCCTTGTTACATGTATACCATGATGGGCCCCATAACCCTGTTCTAATGAAATTATATATTAAAACTCCTACATAACTCCATCGGCTTGGGACTATGGAGGCTCCTGGCGCAAGGCTTCGCCGAACCCCTTCCCACACTGAAAGCACTCTCAGAACCCGACAGCCTCTTGCAAAAGAGAGGAACTATTTTGAGCTCCGTTTTTGATCCAGGACTAGCCTTGATAAGAGGATCTCTTTCTCAACTCCTTGCTGCGAAGATGCCTTCGCTCAGCTCCGGACTTCGTCCACTTGGCCTGGTTTTGGGTCATCGGGATTTTGGGTTTTGGTTGAGGGTGGTCCAGGGCTGTAGGGGGGTAGGGCTGTAGGCAAGGCTTCAGTGTAGATGGGTATGAGGCTGAGGTCAGGTCGCATGACATCCGATGCCTTATCAGGGTGAACAAGGCAGTACACAATGCTCGAGGACGCAGAGGAACCTCCAGTGTCGACTCGGCAGAGGGATGAATGGCTCGGGTTGCTTGGTTGTTTAGTGCGCTGGGGCTTCGACTCTTGATGCTGATGGTCGCTGTCACAATTACTGATAGCCATTGGGCTAGCAAGCTTTGCTTTCCGAAACTCGGAGCATTGCTGTTAACATTCGCACGTCTGCGACTGTGAGGTGAAGCATCGGGCAGGTGTATGCTGTATGCTGACTACGGTGGCTACCACAGCTGTCGGCTGTCAATACCATGATCAACATGACATGCTGCAACTCAGCTTCGTGATGATATCAAAGCTACCATCTACACTACGGTCATGTTCTAATCACCATTAGGATGACAGATGCTATGGTTGGTGACACTGTTGTTAATTGCTATCGGTCTCGAGGGTAGCTAGCTTCACCAGCAGCAGTACTAATAGTAGTCGTCGTCGTGGTGGCGGTCGTAGTAGAAGTAGCAGTCGTCGTCGTAGTAGTAGTAGTAATAGTAGAAGTAGAAGTGGAGGTGGAAGTAGAAGTAGAGGTCGTAGTAGTAATTGTAGTAGACGAGGAGGAGGAACAGGATTTGTGGCGGTAGCAGGAACAGTAGAAGTAGAAGAAGCAACCTACAATTCAGCATCCAGCCTTCTCCTTGGGCGGAGCCTGCAGGTTCGAGCTTGCGGTTACTGCATGCGGGTATGTGTCAACAGGTATACATAGCATTTTTAGACACAGACATGACGTTGAGTGCAGATCACATCAAAGGAGCATGCCGGTACAGCGAAACATGTATAGCAAACGTGCACAAACTGCATGTGCGAAGGACCTTAATGTACTTCCACTTCAACTTGCGTGTCAGAGTGTTCGGGTTACCACGAGGACAGCTCAGCCGCAGATGCAATTCTTTCACGGCGGCCCATTTTTTGTGCCCGAGAAGTTGATCACTCATGATCCAATTGCATATTGCATTGTGCTGTTGCTGTTGTACAGCGGCCTGTGATCTACGCTGCAGCTCTTTATGGCCACCGTTGCTCACGCCAAAATTCAAAGGACCAGGCTCGCTCAGCAGTCTCGTTTACCAGATGCCGGGGAAGATGTAGTACGGCACAGCCTTCCTGCGATTGGAGCACAGCTATTCCGATTTCCTATCGCCAACTAAACAACTCGGGCGCAGGTATCGTGCTAAATGTGCGCAAAGTCTGCTGCACGTGTCCGCCCATCGAATCGGAAGAGGGACTCTCTGTCTCCCTGTTTCTGTAGGGCCGAAGCGAAGACCGGTCCCTGGTGTTGCTTTAGAGATCAACTAAGCTTTTCTCGACATGAGGCCTCAGGCACAAAGAGAACGTGCGAAGTTCCCCTGAGGATGAGATCCCTCGCTTTGTCTCTCTTATCTTTTCCAAGCTTGTTTTTGCTCTGTCGTTCAGTCTTCCTTTCGTTGTTTCCTTGTTTGTGTTTCTGTCTCTCTGGCTCGCTCTCTCACTGTATGCACCAACACCGGACAATGCAGTTTTCTGCGAACAGTACGGGACAATACGATTCTTCGCTTCTATCGCAGATGACGAGAATCATGGTCACCATGCTCGGCCGACGAAGCATCGCTTGAGTTGTGTTGCGCTTGTTTCTGAATTTGGCGGCCCTAGGCTTCGAAACTGGTTCGGTTTCATGCAGATCTGTGCACATGCTACAAATACACATGCAGAAGTGTAGAGCTATGTCAAAATACACAAGTAGACATACATATGTACATACATACATGCATACATGCCGAAGTACGTATGTACATACGTACATACAAACACTCCGATACGCACATGTGCGTAAATGTGTATGTACATATACATTCATTAGCACTCGCGCTCCATTTACATATACGTACACGTGTGTGTGTGTGTATATATATATATATAATGCACATGTACAGGCAGACTTCTCATTGCGGGGCGCCTGGTTGCTTCCCATTGCTTTGCTACTATGTTTAGTGTTACGAAAGTTGTCGCTGGAAGCAAATCAAAAGATAACATAATGAACGACATGTGAAACACTTATGAACTGGCACATGGTCAACATGCGAGGTATTTATGACAACATATTTAATGTGAAGCCTCTCTCACATCTTTTTGTGGTCATTCCATATTTGTGCCGAGTGTTCCCAACTGCTTCATACTCTTCAGAAATACGTGTGCTTTTTGTGTTGTTCAAACTTATTCACATTTTGACAATGGCTGACGTAAACGACTGTGGGAAAACATTAAAAAACGATTCTGGTGGAGGGGGAAACTCGTCTCAGATCATACTGATTACATTTTCAGCATGATTTCATAGTTTTAGTTCATAGTTGGTCATGGTGTGTTCGTTTTTTATGATTTTCCTGAAACCCGATGATTGGCTGAGAGACTTTCTCAAGCATAGTGCGTTGCTGCAAGTACTGCGCTCTCTGCTTTGTTGGGGCTCTGTCTTCTGCATTCTGCTTTCTTCATCACTACCATTACGCCACTGCTTCTCCTGTGGCCAATGAACTCGGCGACTCTATGTCCTCCTAAGAGAAGTTGAACAATAGTGGAAAAAGAGCTGTTGGTCCTAGCATTTCACCAAAAACTGTGATGAGGTGAAGTGAATAGAATGAGTAGAACTAATCTTTCTCAAATTCTCGCCACTTATGTAAGGAACGAAGGGATTACATTCG